CACTAATGTCCCATCCGAGCACTGACCAGGCCCACCCTGCTTAACTTTGGAGAATACCCAGAGAACCCCACCTTGAGAATACCATTTGAGATGGGGTATTCCCAGGTTGTAATCTACAATCTCTGTACATGTCCAAGCAGCAGCATGCATGGCCACTAATAATACACCCTGTACACGGCAAATCTCCAAGAATCAAATCCTTTTCTTCTGTTCTCATTTTCGGCCCCAGTGTAATTAAAAGCATGCAGATGAAAGTGCGGAGTGAGCAGCTGTATACACTTTTTGAGCAGGTTCAGAATGCTCTTCATGAACACATATCATTCTACAGGGGAATTAGCTCGAGTGTTTGTGATCTGAATACATTGGTTGTATTTGTTGCTAAAATGTGCACAGAGCCATAGACAAGCTGCAGTCACACACAGGTGAAGCATCAACACAACACTGTCCTCATGTTCTCCAGGAGAACATTTATGGAAGCTACTCAAACATGCCATGGCTTTCAGTTTCCTCTTATCCCTGTTCCTGTTAAGCCACATTTTGAGGAATTGTACAGACAAGATATAATATTTTGATTTAAATTGTTAATCACTATGGCAGTGGTTTTTGTTTGTTATATTTGACATTTTGAGGACTGTTCACCATTCAAAAAATATATAATTTAAATTTAATGTCATAGTCTGTCAACTTTTATCAAAAAAAATAAAATAAAAATAAAACCCCTAAAATAAAATAATGTTGTTTGTTTTTGGGATGTTTTTTTACTGCACTGAAAATGAAAAACATGGAACTTGCATCTCCACAAACCTGACTCGTATTTGGTCCTGAAGGAGGCCTCTTCCTGCTCGTTTCCATGGAAATGTTGTTACATGGTGATGTTCCGCCTTCACAAAGTTACATACTGTACCTTCAAACTGTTAATTGAAATGGCAACAGCCCTAATTTTTCTTCATCCTGAAACCCTGAAGTGATGGATTGATTTTCTAGAAAGTGATTGTCAGAGTCAGGCTACATTTACACTGAAACATATCACTGTATCAAAGTATCAAAAATGATCTGAATTCAGACACGTCGTTTCTGTGTCTGCACGTCTTTCCTATTCACACAGCTTTGAACATATTTGTTTATGTTTTACAGAAATGAAACTTAAACCCACATGGCTCATTTGTATAAACTAAGTGCTCAAAAAACAGTTCGCTATTTTGCGCTGCCCATATGGAAAAGGTAGAGACAAATCATACACCATTTGAACATGTTTCATGTGAATCCTAAAAGATTTGTATTTGACAGTGAAAACACTTACAAGATCTTGGTAAATATGTGCAGCATGAAACATATAAAACTTTGTAACCTGCAAGGACTGAATATGACACTAATCCCACACACAATCTCCTCACAAGTGTTGGACAAAGGTCATTTATTTCATAGAAAAACAAGTGAAATGATGTTTGTTTCCTTAAACTTGATTGCTGTGTTGTGTGTGTGTGAGAGTGAGAAAGAAAATTATCACAGTGTGTGTGTGGTGTGTGTGTGTGTGTGTGTGTGTGTGTGTGTGTGTGTGTGTGTGTGTGTGTGTGTGTGTGTGTGTGTGTTAGGCAGTATGGGGGTAAACACAGTAATGTAAATCTTGCATTACAACCTTAAAAACATCTTCCACTGATCTCACAGTGAACAAACATCAGGCTGTAAAAAGATTTTTACTCTGCAAAATCCTAATTATTACAAAGTTCTATACTGACTTGTAATATTCCAAAAAGCAGCTATATTTTTTCACATGCCTCAACTGACAAGACGTCATATCAGTTACAAATACCAAGGTACTTGTAATTGTCCTCAATATCTGCTGTTGTTCCCTCTGAGATCAGCAGTTAGTTTGCTCAGTTGGTGAGTCACTGGACTTTCACATGGTCGACCTGGGTTCAATTCCCCCTTCACACTCTGATTGTTTTTTCTGCAACATATAATTAAATAATACAAACATTACATGGAACATACAAAGAAAATGTAGTTGATCATGCACATTACCTGTAAATGTCATGCAAAATGTTCACTTTATCTTTACTAGTTTTTCATAATATAGTTGTATGAGAAAAATGTAAAAGGGGGAAACTTTCAGGAGTAAAACACACATGACACATATAAACCTTATATAAAGATTTACTACAAAGACAGTGGTAAATTCTAATATTTTTTTTTTCCAACTTTTTTCCATATGGGTGATGTGTTTCAGCTTCTGTCGAACTAAAGGACACGACTCAGTGGAATATGAGTGTTCTTTCTGTGACAGAGGGGTGTTCTGCTGATGGTGAGTCTGTTCTGTGTTTCTATCACGTTAGACATGGTTCATGTTAAACTTTTCAGAAATTATACGTCTGCAGGTTGCACACACAGACTGTTTATATGAATGGACATATAATCTAGCCTCTTTGCATTTTGGGGGTGAAATACTAAATACTGGAGGTGAAAGATCAGATACTGTGACCTGTATCTGATCTTTTAATGACAGTCTGAACCACACAGATGCGATTTTTTCAAATGCAACCCAGGACACTTATGTCCAGATATGTGCTCCTGAAACCGATACATATCTGATCTTTTGACATGTGACTTCAGTTTGAACGGCCAAAGTGCATTCATCCACCTACACGTTATCAACAAGACACAAACGTCACTATTCTGCACTGAAGTAGGCGAAAATTGTTAATGAACTCCATGTTACTGAAGTGAAGCACATCACCACTCACCACTCTTGGCTCCGTCTCCACATCCACACGTTCCTTTCACCGGACGTCGCTGCCGCTGCCCCACAAAACACCATGGCCAAAAACCTCGTCCTTCTCCTTCTCAATCTCCTCCTTAAAACAAGTAAGTTGTTCATGTTCTGGCTCCGGTACGAGAGGAACTTTAAAATCTCCAGGTGCTCAATGTTTGCGTCCATGTTTAGACAACTTCCATAAAGTGCACATGCGGGAAACTTTTGGGCCTTTAAATGTTCACACAGGAGATCACATACAAGTTGCATTTAACTGGAAATGTGAACGACCTCGCAAAAACATCGGATTTCACAAAAAAGTCGGAATTGAGCATTAAGCCCTGCAGTCTGAACGTAGCCTTAGAGTATCAGTGTTTTCAGGCATCCACACAGTGTCGGATCAGATCTGTACTCAGATGAATTCATGAGAGCTGGCGGCACCAGATCGTTCCGTCTCTGGAGCTGTTTTCCATTGAATTAGTGTGAATGAACACTGCATCCACAACCAAAACAACTCCAAGACTCAGTAGTGTGGACTGGGGCTTGGAACTTTACAGGTATTGAAAAAAATAATAATTCAAGCTTTTGATTCAAAATGTTGAATCTATTATTTCTAAGGGAAAAGTTTCATGGTGCAGCATTAATTATAGATTCCTGTATCACTCCTGTAGTCTAGGCTAGTACAGAGGGTTGGTACAGTACAGTGTGACCCAGGTGTGACCTTTTTTAGTGCTTCCTCAGCCCAGGCTCTGGAGTCACACCCCTCAGGCCAGTGTCATGTCTCCTCTTCATATCCTGAATCCCGATAACCTTGTAAAGAACAGCAAATATTGATCCAGCCGCTCAACTGTGTGCGTGTGTGTGTGTGTGTGGGTCTGAGTGTGTATGTGTGTGTATTTGCGTGCGTGTGCGTGCATGTGTGTGACCCAAGACGCAACAGCAAAGAAGAGCTGAGCTGTTATTCCACAGAGGTATGAGGCGTGAGTCAAGCCCTCGACGACAAAAAAGTAACACACGACACATACACTCCTCCTCCATTCTAAACTCAGTGTGTTCAATGAAGTGAAGAGTATCTATGTGTACTATGTGCCTTAGAATATTTATGTGGAGACTATTATCTCAGATTGGCAACAGTCTTTAAAACAACACTTTTTAAACTGCAAGTTTGTATCAAAGGTGCTATATGTATTTTCCTTTTCTCACTATGATATAGACAGTGTTGGGGAGTAACAGATTACATGTACCTGAGTTACGTAATCAGAGTACAAATTATGAGTAACTGTATTCAGTTACAGTTACTGTTTCAGTGAGTGGTAATTGGATTACAGTTACTTTGTTGAAATAAATGGATTACACCGTGGTGTTTTCCTGTTTTCACATTTTGGGCTATATCCCCCGTTTTTTTTTTTTTTTTTTCTCGGTAATTCCAATCATTGTTGGAAACTAAAACAGGTCTAAACCAGATCTAAACTTTATCTAAACCAGGTCTGAACCAGGTCTAAACCAGGTCTAAACTATATCTAAACCAGGTCTAAACCAGGTCTAAACTATATCTAAAACAGGTCTAAATCAGGTCTAAAATAGGACTAAACCAGGACTAAAACAGGACTGAACCAGGACTAAACCAGGTCTAAAAGAGGACTAAACCAGGACTAAACCAGGACTAAATCCTGCTGTGTGGACGTGTCTCTTCTTCTATCAATAATATTTTTAATATGGTTCAGTAAAGTCTGGACTTTTTATTTTCTTTTATCAGACAAAAGTTCTTATGTTACGATTTCCTCGTCTTTGCTTCTCTACAGCAAATCAAGTAATCCAAAGTATTCAGATTACATTATTCACTTTAAGTAATTTATTGGATTACGTTACAAACTACATTTTGGTGTGTGTAATCTGTAATCTGTAGGGGAATACATTTTAAAAGTCACCTTCCCAACACTGGATATACATGTAGAGAACATTTAAAACTATGGTGGGTCAACATTTCTCTATTTGTCCAATAAATATTAAAATCAAGGTTTTGTTTTAATCAAAAATGCATCATAATCTCCTATATTAAATAAACAGACAGAATATAAAGGACACTTGTAAATGTCAACTTGATATCACTTATGTAACCAAGTGCAATACTTCAGAATACTACAAGGTCAACAGGTATTTACTTCTGTTTAACTGGAGCATTTCTTATAAACAATACACATGAAAAAGGAGATCTTCACTTTAGCATTACAGCATACAGATACAGCGCGGTCAAAAATCCTCCGAGTATATTCTTATATTTATTTCTTAAGCATTTATTTATTTATTGGAAAACAGACAACACACATTAATGAATATTTAAAATGTAAATATGTAGAGATTATAGCCATCACATCTTCATTTCTTCGACAGGTTGATGTGAAATGACGTACAGGACTGGGAAAAGTACAGCAACAATCACACAAAAGCACACAACTACAGCACACTCACTGTACATACAATTCACTCATAACTTTCAACTTCAACTTCAACTTCAACTTTATTATTGTTCCAGAGGGAAACTGATGTGCAGACACACAGTAGACTTAGAATACAACTCAATAACACACTAAACCACAGCTTAAGTTTAGCTCAACAGTGCAGACAAACATTCCCTTAAAAATAGAACAAGAAATGTAACCGCATTTCACCACGACTGATCCAAGCTGTAAGATTCATTCTAGCATCATCCTAGGTATGACTTCAGAAACAAAGGAAGTCCGAGCTCTCTGAGTTCTGATCCGGGGCATTCTCAGATGTCGCCCAGAAGGAAAGAGGTTCAACTCCTCACAGAGTGGCAGCTCAGGGCTTGCCATTATTTGTTGGGCCTTGTGAATCACCCTTGTAGTATTTTAAAAAATGTCATTCTGCTAAACATGGTGACATATTTGACCACTGAACATCACGGTTTTAAAGCTTTAGAAACTGCTGCCAGTGTTGAAAGTTCACATACATGAACTGCCCTGTGTTCCATGTTTGAACTGTTCCAGAAGCAAAAGAGTCTGTGCAAAAGCACTTTGAATTTCTTTTCACAAATCCTTTACAGAAGGTGGAGCAAGATTATTAAAAATGTTGTTTTCATTTCACTAGTAGCACATCCGTGTATCTGTGCCTGTTCACACATACTGTATCTGAGGAGGCTTCACTGGTCCAGCCACTGTCCTTTGTCCAGTTGGTGACGGACATACTGACAGAAGCACACAGTTCTGGGCAGGTGGCCACTAGAGACCGGTGTGTCGAAGGGGAAGTGTTTTTTAGCGAGACAACATGTGTAGCCCGAAGAGAGAAACAAGAGTGCTCGGTTTAAACATGTCTTCAGAGCAGGCCCTCTCTGAAAAAGTCTCCTCAAACACCTGTCTGCATCTGTCCAGCGAAACATACACCAGGTAGATCTTGGAATTAGACCGACAACCCATCAAGACCTTCTCCTTTGACATAAAAACATTTGCTTGGCCTACAGCTTTCTGCATCTCCCTCACTATGTTCCGGTCGTCATCCCATCTCCAGAGACAGAGCTGAATGAAAATCCCCAAAGGGACAGTAAATATGAGCATAAAGCTAGCGAACATAAATCCAGGAGGGAGTGTGGGAATTATTGTCCCAGGATAAGATAATAACGCCATTAAAAATGCATGTATTCCATACCAGGACGGGATGAATAAGACCCCTGCCATGTAAACCAGGACACGTTTCCAGAGTGGTTTTATCCACACTTTGGTTTGTGAGACTTTGTTGATGATGGCGATGGCCTGCCTGTAGGTGTCTTCATTGTGCACGATGAGGCGGAGCTGGTCGGGGATGTCCATGTCACTAAACACGCCGGCGTCCCAGGACCTCAGGCTCTCCTCGTTGGCGGCGGTGAGTGACTGGAGCGCTTTACCGTTGTAGACTGAAGGAGGCTGGTACGGCACCACAGACGCCCCCCGGAGCTCCCTGTGAGGTACACATATACTGAGATCATCACATCAGAAGGACCTGTTTAGTTCCTGTTACTGATGCATCCACCCGTCATTCATGGACAGCTACAGACGCATTTATTTTAATGTGCACAGATCAGGATCCTGAAATATCAGCACATTTTTACAGGCAGAGTGGATCAGAATATGGATTTGAACTAAGGTTGGGTGACACACACACTAGTTTTTTGTACCTATTCCTGTATTCATTGTGTGTTCTAGAATAACATTTATTTATAAATTTCTTTTATGATAACTGAATATTCCTCGTACTGTCTAAAAAGATCCCAAGAACTAACTGCACTATTTAAGCCCCGTGTGAAATGGCTGATGCTGGAGAGGGTGGCACTAAAGCTCCTGGATCATGCAGGAGTGAGGAGCCCCTGATACAGTGTGTGCTCTGGGCGTGTGCTCAGGTGAGGAGCTGTGTGTTGGCCTGTATGATCTGTGGCTGGAGCATGGTTTGTGTAGTTCCAGTGTGGAGCTATAAAACTGTACTGACAAAGTGTCTGCTGCGCACTTAATGCCATGCACTTTTTTTCTCTTCTCTCTTTTTTCATTTGGTGTTAAACACATGAGCATGTATCTAGTGCATCTTTTTAAAAAAAAAAACCTTGAAGTGTAGTTGCAAAGCCACTTTAATTCCATGTCGTTATTATGACGACTGGAGTATGTATGATGATATTAGAGCAGTCTTGCCTGTTGGGGGTGCAGAGCACGTGCAGCAGCTTGTTGGTGAAGTCGGGGTGGTCGGCCTCGAGGTAGGTGAGGTGACACAGGTGCAGAGGGACACACACCTCTGGCTCCAGGAGAACAGGGATGATGGGCTTCCTCTCCAGGCAGTCTCTGAACAGAGACATGTTGGCTTCCAGAAGGCACCAGCGACTGCACACAAACTCTGCACTCAGCACCAGCAGAACCTTCTGACTCTGCTGGATGCACTCGGACATGTTCTCCAGAATAGTGCGTCCTGGAATGAAGTCTCGCTCGTGGTAACACACCTGCAGCCCAGCAGCCTCCAGTCTGTCCACCAGTGCATGGGTCCATCTGAGAAGAAGCAGAGGTGTCTGGGTCATTGTTCTTAAAGGCCTTATTGCATGCACTGGTACTGTTTTATACCCTTTTCTGTTCGGACATTGAAATAGTCATTAGGCCCTTTAAATGACATACTTTGTCATTACAAAGAGATGGAGGTGTGTTGAGGGGATGCAGGGAGTGTGTATTTTGTACCTGTAGTCAGTGCTGCTGTAGCTTAAGAAGACATGGTAGTATTCCTCTTCTCTCAAAGTGGGCGGGACAAATGCAGAAATGAGATGTGATTGGACATCAGAGCTGTCAGTCAAATGTGCAGGCTCCATTATCTGTCAGAAGCACAAATTCAATTCAAAAAGTTTATTGTCAAATTTCCATCTGAAGATAATGAAAAACTGTCATTATGTTCTCACTCTCAATCTTGTAAATTAAATAATAATAAAATCCTTCTTCCTGTTCACCTGGTGGTTACAGAGGGGAGAGAGTTCAGCATCCTAACAGCCTGGAGGATGAAGCTGCTGATGAGTCTGGTGGTGCAGGAACAGAGGCTCCTGTACCTCCTCCCAGAGGGTGGAGGCTGAACAGATTGTGTGTGGGGTGAGTTGCATCACTCACAATTTGTGCGGGTGAGGTGGGTGGTGCATATGTGGGTGAGGTGGGTGGTGTATATGTGGGTGAGGTGGGTGGTGTATATGTGTGTGAGGTGGGTGGTGCATGTGCGGGTGAGGTGGGTGGTGTATATGCGGGTGAGGTGGGTGGTGTATATGTGGGTGAGGTGGGTGGTGTATATGTGTGTGAGGTGGGTGGTGTTTATGTGTGAGGTGGGTGGTGTATATGTGTGTGAGGTGGGTGGTGTTTGTGTTGAGGTGGGTGGGTGGTGTATATGTGTGAGGTGGGTGGTGTTATGTGTGGGTGGGTGGTGTATATGTGTGTGAGGTGGGTGGTGTATATATGTGGGTGAGGTGGGTGGTGTATATGTGTGTGATGTGTGGTGGTGTATATGTGTTTGAGGTGGGTGGTGTATATGTGTTGTGAGGTGGGTGGTGTATATGTGGGTGAGGTGGGTGGTGTTTATGTGGGTGAGGTGGGTGGTGTTTATGTGTTTTGAGGTGGGTGGTGTATATGTGTGTGAGTGGGTGGTGTATATGTGTTTGAGGTGGGTGGTGTATATGTGGTGAGGTGTGTGTGTGGGGTGGGTGGTGTATATGTGGGTGAGGTGGGTGGTGTATATGTGTTTGAGTGGTGGTGTATATGTGGGTGAGGTGGGTGGTGTATATGTGGGTGAGGTGGGTGGTGTTTATGTGTTTGAGGTGGGTGGTGTATATGTGTGTGAGGTGGGTGGTGTATATGTGTGTGAGGTGGGTGGTGTATATGTGTGTGAGGTGGGTGGTGTATATGTGTGTGAGGTGGGTGGTGTATATGTGTTTGAGGTGGGTGGTGTATATGTGTGTGGTGGTGGTGTATGTGTGGTGGTGGTGGTGTGTATATGTGTGAGGTGGGTGTGTATATGTGGGTGAGGTGGGTGGTGTATATGTGTGGGTGGTGGTGTATATGTGTGTGAGGTGGGTGGTGTATGTCTGTGTGAGGTGGGTGGTGTATATGTGTTTGAGGTGGGTGGTGTATATGTGTGAGGTGGGTGTGTATATGTGTGTGAGGTGGTGGTGTATGTGTGTTGAGGTGGGTGGTGTATATGTGTGAGGTGGGTGGTGTATATGTGTGTGAGGTGGGTGGTGTATATGTGTTTGAGGTGGGTGGTGTATGGGTGGTGTATATGAGGTGTGGTGATATGGTGGGTGGTGTGTATATGTGTGGGTGGGTGGTGTATATGTGTGTGGGTGGTGTATATGGTGTGAGGTGGTGGTGTATATGTGGGTGAGGGGGTGTGTATATGTGGAGGTGGGTGGTGTATATGTGTGTGAGGTGGGTGGTGTATATGTGTTGTGAGTGTGGTGTATATGTGTGTGAGGTGGGTGGTGTATATGTGTGTTGAGGTGGGTGGTGTATATGTGTGTGAGGTGGGTGGGTGTATATGTGTTGGGTGGTGATATGTGTGTGGGTGGTGTATATGTGGGTGAGGTGGGTGGTGTATATTGTGGGTGGGTGGGTGGTGGTAATATGGTGTTGGTGGGTGTGTATATGTGTGTGAGGTGGGTGTGTATATGTGTGAGGTGGGTGGTGTATATGTGGTGAGGTGGTGGTGTATATGTGTGTGAGGTGGGTGGTGTATATGTGTTTGAGGTGGGTGGTGTATATGTGTGAGTGGTGTGGTGTATATGTGTGTGAGGTGGGTGGTGTATATGTGGTGAGGTGGGTGGTGTATATGTCTTGCAGGGAGGGGAGTGGTGCACCTGTGATCTTCCTGGTTGTGTTCACTATGTGCATAAATTGATTCATAAGTGACTTTTAAAGTAGAGACACTTTCAATTGTGTTTTTGCAAAAACAAAGTCCAGATGAGCAGCTCTACTCTGACCTCTTCACATTACACCACCACATACACTGGACTTGTTTTATTTAGTTCAGTGTGAATCACAGGTCTATACACTTTCTGTTCAAAATGCAGAAGTGATTATCTGCTGCTGGCACGCACTCATCAGTGCATTTGCTTTTCCTTGTTTTGTTTGAACCATGAACATGAACCAAACATGTGTGAAAGAGTCTGAACCTCTGGACATAGGCCATAGGTGTAAGGAGAAGTCCCTGAAGTATACATGTGGGTGCAGTACATTACTAATGTAAAATATAAGCATATTTGAACTCTTTCTAGAATGTTTTCTTCTTCATTGCTCCTGACGCTCCAGTGGCACTGAAGCATGTGAAGAACGCAGATGCTAATTTCCCTCAAAGTTCAATAAAGTTCATACCTTAACCACAATCAGAGATGTTTTAATGAGCACACAACCAGTGGGCTCCATGTGCAGTGTCACAGAGCGTTACAGAACAAAAAGGCCAGTCCATAAAGATACAAGGCAACACCAGATCGATCAATACACGTTACAGCAGAGACAGACTTAGAGAATGAATGGCTCTGAAATCTATAGCTGTTTTTCAATCTGACTGACTCGGGTGTAATGGTTTATTTTTCTCTTCAAAAGTTTGAAGTATGTCATATTTAAACATAAGCCCCCCCTCAGTCCCAGTAACACAGACACAAATCCTACCTGACTCAAACGAGCTCCAATGACGACTAACGGAGTTTAGACAAAACGAGTAAAAGGTTTGTCTTAAAGGGACAGTGCTTTATTCAAGTGAGTTTCAGATGTGATCAGTCCAACATCCCTTTAAATGTGGCACAGTTGTGTGGTTCTGCTTTTACTCTGCTTCTTTACTTTTACTTCCCCTGCTCAGCACAGACGCAACAAGCCCCACAGTGCAGCATGTGAAGGAGTAAATGAACACAGCCCCGCTTAAAGTGGGACTAAACACAAAACATTTCAAACAGAGCTGCTAAAGTGATGAGTACCTAAAGAAGAGAGTGAAAGAGGAAAGAGTGAGAGGTGTCCACACTTCAAACTCCACCTCTTCAGCCAAGTGTTTGTAATCTGGAACAGCTGGCTGTAATAGGGGCAGTCCTTTGTGATGTCACCAACTACTGGAAATTGCCACTGAGGCCAATCCGTGTATCATTCCTTCATTTGTTTTTCAAAATAAAACCAAAAATAAGAAAACGAAAAAAATACTATTTTCTTTATTATTTGTCTCCAAAACCAAAATGAACAAAACAGATAACGATTCGTTTTATCAGTTTTCGATTTTGTGTTTAAATGAATAGTGGAAAAAACAGAGAACAACCGTTTCCCGTTTCCATGACTTAAACTGCGATGCTGGACTAAACCAAGACTGAACCAGAAGTGTCGGGACGGGCCCGGAGTTGTGCCCACATAGACTGTTGGGTAATCAGGACTGAGACCTGGGACCAGACTGGGACCAGCACCAGGACTGAGACAGGGACAAGATCAGGATTGAGACCAGGACTGAGAACGGTTTAGTCCTGGTTTAGACCTGGTTTAGACGTGGTCTAGACCTGGTTCAGTCCGGCATCACAATTTAAGTCACGGAAACAGGACACAGTCATTATCTTTTTTTTTTTTTTTTCCATTTTGGTTCTGGAGACAAATAATGAAAAAAATAGTTGTTTTTTTCTTTATCTTATTTTTGGTTTTATTTTGAAAACCAAATGAATGAATGATACCTGGATTGAAGCCTCTGAAGGCTGCACAGACGTAGATGTTGGCATTTTGATATCGTCAAGAACATTATTGATGTTAAAAGAATTCATTTTCCTTAAAAAGATCAGTACACTCACACTACATACAATTCATTTCAGTTAATTTGAAGTTCAAAATCAAGAGTTAAAGAGTTAAACCAGCAACCCCTTAGTATTAAAAAAAAAAGTCATTTTGTTAAACATGGTGACATATTTGGCCACTGAACGTCACTGTTTTAAAGCTTTAGAAAATGCTGCAGTTTTGAAAGTTCTCGTACATGAGCTGCTCTGTGGTCCGTGTTTGAACTGCTCCAGAAGCAAAAGAGTCTGTCCAAAAGCACTTTTCCTAAACTGCACAGAGCCGTCGCCTCTAGAGCTGCTCTTGTCCGATTTCAGTTTCTTTTCACAAACTCTTTTACAGGAGGTGGAGCACGATTATTAAAAATGTTGTTTTCTTTTCACTAGTAGCACATCCATGTATCTGTGCCTGTTCACACATACTGTATCTGAGGAGGCTTCACTGGTCCAGCCACTGTCCTTTGTCCAGTTGGTGACGGACATACTGACAGAAGCACACAGTTCTGGGCAGGTGGCCACTAGAGACCGGTGTGTCGAAGGGGAAGTGTTTTTTAGCGAGACAACATGTGTAGCCCGAAGAGAAGAACAAGAGTGCTCGGTTAAACATGTCTTCAGAGCAGGCCCTCTCTGAAAAAGTCTCCTCAAACACCTGTCTGCATCTGTCCAGCGAAACATACACCAGGTAGATCTTGGAATTGGACCGACAACCCATCAAGACCTTCTCCTTTGACATGAAAACATTTGCTTGGCCTACAGCTTTCTGCATCTCCCTCACTATGTTCTGGTCGTCATCCCATCTCCAGAGACAGAGCTGAATGAAAATCCCCAAAGGGACAGTAAATATAAGTGTAAAGCTAGTGAACATAAATCCAAGAGGTAGTGTGGGAATTATCGTCCCAGGAGAAGATAATAACACAATTAAAAATGTATGTATTCCATACCAGGACGGGATGAATAAGACCCCTGCCATGTAAACCAGGACACGTTTCCAGAGTGGTTTTATCCACACTTTGGTTTGTGAGACTTTGTTGATGATGGCGATGGCCTGCCTGTAGGTGTCTTCATTGTGCACGATGAGGCGGAGCTGGTCGGGGATGTCCATGTCACTAAACACGCCGGCGTCCCAGGACCTCAGGCTCTCCTCGTTGGCGGCGGTGAGTGACTGGAGCGCTTTACCGTTGTAGACTGAAGGAGGCTGGTACGGCACCACAGACGCCCCCCGGAGCTCCCTGTGAGGTACACATATACTGAGATCATCACATCAGAAGGACCTGTTTAGTACCTGTTCCTGATGCATCCACCCGTCATTCATGGACAGCTACAGACGCATTTATTTTAATGTGCACAGATCAGGATCCTGAAATATCAGCACATTTTTACAGGCAGAGTGGATCAGAATATGGATTTGAACTAAGGTTGGGTGACACACACACTAGTTTTTTGTACCTATTCCTGTATTCATTGTGTGTTCTAGAATAACATTTATTTATAAATTTCTTTTATGATAACTGAATATTCCTCGTACTGTCTAAAAAGATCCCAAGAACTAACTGCACTATTTAAGCCCCGTGTGAAATGGCTGATGCTGGAGAGGGTGGCACTAAAGCTCCTGGATCATGCAGGAGTGAGGAGCCCCTGATACAGTGTGTGTGCTCTGGGCGTGTGCTCAGGTGAGGAGCTGTGTGTTGGCCTGTATGATCTGTGGCTGGAGCATGGTTTGTGTAGTTCCAGTGTGGAGCTATAAAACTGTACTGACAAAGTGTCTGCTGCGCACTTAATGCCATGCACTTTTTTTCTCTTCTCTCTTTTTTCATTTGGTGTTAAACACATGAGCATGTATCTAGTGCATCTTTTTAAAAAAAAAAAACCTTGAAGTGTAGTTGCAAAGCCACTTTAATTCCATGTCGTTATTATGACGACTGGAGTATGTATGATGATATTAGAGCAGTCTTGCCTGTTGGGGGTGCAGAGCACGTGCAGCAGCTTGTTGGTGAAGTCGGGGTGGTCGGCCTCGAGGTAGGTGAGGTGACACAGGTGCAGAGGGACACACACACCTCTGGCTCCAGGAGAACAGGGATGATGGGCTTCCTCTCCAGGCAGTCTCTGAACAGAGACATGTTGGCTTCCAGAAGGCACCAGCGACTGCACACAAACTCTGCACTCAGCACCAGCAGAACCTTCTGACTCTGCTGGATGCACTCGGACATGTTCTCCAGAATAGTGCGTCCTGGAATGAAGTCTCGCTCGTGGTAACACACCTGCAGCCCAGCAGCCTCCAGTCTGTCCACCAGTGCATGGGTCCATCTGAGAAGAAGCAGAGGTGTCTGGGTCATTGTTCTTAAAGGCCTTAAAGGTTGTATAGAGGATTTTCCAAGGAACGAGAAATCCAGCGACTGTTTGTCCTTTTTCAAATGTTGCGCATGCGTGAAACCACCCCCCCTCCCCTACAGCTCCCTACGTAGAAATGCCTCCTCCCGCCTCTTCTTTACGCCAGAAACAGGTTTGTTTACAGCCGGTGCGCTGCACATGACTTGTAAACAACTAACTACAGTGTTGGTTAGGCAAGACGGAGAAGTGGGGAGCGGGGGGAGCGGGTGCGCGGACATTTCGTTCGCGGACGAGAAGTGAGGAGCAGGGAGAAGAGTGGAGCAGGGAGCAGGGAGAGGAGAGAGGAGAGAGGAGAGGGGAGCGGTGTGTGGAGATTCCGTGCCCGGAGAAGTGAGGAGCAGGGAGAAGAGCGGATCAGGCAGCGGGGACAGGAGCAGGAAAGGGGTGCAGAGAAGGTTGCGCGGAGATTCCGTGCGAATGAACTAGCTACAACACGCAGCAGCAAGCGGACTCTTTCTTTGCCTTGAAAATTACGTTTTCAGACATAGGATATCGCTTTCGTGTCCTGAAAAACGTTTGACTAGCTCTTGGAAATAAAGTACGTTTTCATAATAAGCAGAAGTTACCTGTCCAGGAGTAATTTGTGGACCAGTGCGTCAGTCTTTAGACCCTGCGTCTGCTTCAGTCGCGCCATCGCTGGAATGAATCTATAAGAATCACCTTAGTTTGGCTTCGCTGCTTTTCCCCTTGTCTTCTTCTTTCAGCGACCTCAAAAACGGACTTTCTTTTGCGGCTAACTGCTCCTGGATTCTTGTCTGCCATTGCAACAAACTTTGTGCTAACTGCGAGGAAGATATAGGTCAAAAAAAGCCGCTAAGAACTGTTGCGTTGGTGGAGTAAACCGTCTGTGCGTCTTGCGTCTGTGGACTGCGTGACAGACGTACGTAAACCACGTACCGGCGGCGCGCAGGCAAGTCAGTTACGCTAGAAACATAGGGAGATTGATTGACAGCCTGTCAGCTAACAGATAACGAGGCAGTGTCGTTATCTATTGGCAAATGTTTAGCCCCACCACGTCCAGAGTTGATGAATTTTTATTCTCTTTTTTTTGGTCATCATAATTACAAGGCCACTGCACCTCTATAATGCTATCATTGACAACTTGAAACAAAAAAAAAATCCTCCATACAACCTTTATTGCATGCACTGGTACTGTTTTATACCCTTTTCTATTCGGACATTGAAATAGTCATTAGGCCCTTTAAATGACATACTTTGTCATTACAAAGAGATGGAGGTGTGTTGAGGGGATGCAGGGAGTGTGTATTTTGTACCTGTAGTCAGTGCTGCTGTAGCTTAAGAAGACATGGTAGTATTCCTCTTCTCTCAAAGTGGGCGGGACAAATGCAGAAATGAGATGTGATTGGACATCAGAGCTGTCAGTCAAATGTGCAGGCTCCATTATCTGTCAGAAGCACAAATTCAATTCAAAAAGTTTATTGTCAAATTTCCATCTGAAGATAATGAAAAACTGTCATTATGTTCTCACTCTCAATCTTGTAAATTAAATAATAATAAAATCCTTCTTCCTGTTCACCTGCTGGTTACAGAGGGGAGAGAGTTCAGCATCCTAACAGCCTGGAGGATGAAGCTGCTGATGAGTCTGGTGGTGCAGGAACAGAAGCTCCTGTACCTCCTCCCAGAGGGTGAAGGCTGAACAGATTGTGTGTGGGGTGAGTTGCATCACTCACAATTTGTGCGGGTGAGGTGGGTGGTGCATATGTGGGTGAGGTGGGTGGTGCATGTGCGGGTGAGGTGGGTGGTGTATGTTGGGGTAAGGTGGGTGGTGCTTGTGCGTTTGAGATGGGTGGTGCATGTGCGGGTGAGGTGGGTGGTGCTTGTGCGGGTGAGGTGGGTGGTGCTTGTGCGGGTGAGGTGGGTGGTGCATGTGCGGGTGAGGTGGGTGGTGCTTGTGCGGGTGAGGTGGTGGTGCTTGTGCGGGTGAGGTGGGTGGTGCTTGTGCGGGTGAGGTGGGTGGTGCTTGTGCGGGTGAGGTGGGTGGTGCTTGTGCGGGTGAGGTGGGTGGTGTATGTGCTGGCACACACTCATCAGTGCATTTGCATTTCCTTGTTTTGTTTGAACCATGAACATGAACCAAACATGTGTGACAGAGTCTGAACCTGTGGAGATAGACTATTATCCACGCTGACATCACCTCCACTCAATTTCATTTCTCTCCAGATGCTAGGTCAGGAACTGGAATCCACTAGACCAGAGGTGTCAAAGTCAGATTCACAGAAGGCCCAAATTAAAAACTGGGACTAAGTCATGGGCCAAACTAAATATTTATTGAAAAATTTCAACAACATCTGCATGTTTTCTCTTCTTTCGAGATATGTAATGATATGATATGTAATTTCTTTCTTGTTAAAAGAAATGTTTAATAATAGTTTTGTTTAAACATTCAATCCAGAACAAGCAGAATATAAAATAATCAAAAAAATTTTAAATATAATTGTATCCCGGGCCAAATTTGGCCCCTGGGCCTGAGTTTGACATGTCTGCACTAGAAGGTTCGCAAAAAACCTAGAAGTGCAAGTTCGGGCACCAGCCAGTCAGCGAAGAGCCATATATTCTGAGTTGGCAACAATTCCCGAGATTGAGGATTTAAAGTCGGAACAAAGAGAATGTTTCGTGAATTTTATCAAGGGGAAAGGCGTTATTGTCGTTCTTCCTACGGGATTTGTGAAAAGCTTAATATACCAGTTATCCCCGTTAGCAGCACAGTACATATGTCACAACCAAATAGCAGGGATTGGTTAAATTACAAAAAGTACTCGCCTACTGTCGAGCGAAGGAATTCTAATGTTACAAGGTTAGACAGTTTTCACAAAGTGAAATTATTACTATTTTGCCTGAAGTATACATGTGGGTGCAGTACATTACTAATGTAAAATATAAGCATATTTGAACTCTTTCTAGAATGTTTTCTTCTTCATTGCTCCTGACGCTCCAGTGGCACTGAAGCATGTGAAGAACGCAGATGCTAATTTAGTTCAATAAAGTTCATACCTTAACCACAATCAGAGATGTTTTAATGAGCACACAACCAGTGGGCTCCATGTGCAGTGTCACAGAGCGTTACAGAACAAAAAGGCCAGTCCATAAAGATACAAGGCAACACCAGATCGATCAATACACGTTACATCAGAGACAGACTTAGAGAATGAATGGCTCTGAAATCTATAGCTGTTTTTCAATCTGACTGACTCGGGTGTAATGGTTTATTTTTCTCTTCAAAAGTTTGAAGTATGTCATATTTAAACATAAGCCCCCCCTCAGTCCCAGTAACACAGACACAAATCCTACCTGACTCAAACGAGCTCCAATGAAGACTAACGGAGTTTAGACAAAAGGAGGAAAAGGTTTGTCTTAAAGGGACAGTGCTTTATTCAAGTGAGTTTCAGATGTGATCAGTCCAACATCCCTTTAAATGTGGCACAGTTGTGTGGTTCTGCTTTTACTCTGCTTCTTTACTTTTACTTCCCCTGCTCAGCACAGACGCAACAAGCCCCACAGTGCAGCATGTGAAGGAGTAAATGAACACAGCCCCGCTTAAAGTGGGACTAAACACAAAACATTTCAAACAGAGCTGCTAAAGTGAAGAGTACCTAAAGAAGAGAGTGAAAGAGGAAAGAGTGAGAGGGGCGGGCTCTAAGGGACAGTGCCACTGGTCTAACAGGAATCCACACTTCAAACTCCGCCCCTTCAGCCAAGCATTTGTAATGTGGAACAGCTGGTGTAACGGGGCAGTCTTTTGTGATGTCATCAACTACTGGAAATTGCACAGGCCACTGAAGGCAGCACAGATGTGGGTGTTGGCATTTTGGACCAGAAAGTTGCAAATTTGACTAAAGTTGTCAAACAGATAATACTATTAAAACATCATATAGACAGAAAAACAGTGGAGTAGTGTTTAGTTCAACTTAAATACTGCGTTCCAATTCGTCAGAGGTCAGAAAGTGGAGGTCAGACTGATGTTTTCTTAGGTGTTTCAGTCACGAAAAGGAATGACCACAAGGCCTGTAGGGTTTTACAGTAACATCTTCATCAAGTAAGAAAACCAGTGTTGTAATTCCCCTAAGGCAGGCATATCTAAACTATGGCCCACGAGCCAAATGTGGCCCTCAGACAAATTTTTCTTGGCCCTCAGGCTTGCAGGTGAATACACGCATCAAGAATCTCGGACTTCCAGTCACTGCGCAATGCATACTGGGAAGGATTTTCCGAAAAAGTGAGCATCAAACCTCCATGTTTGATTTCCCAGTGGGATGTGTCTATTGTCAAAGTCAATCTTTTCAAGTCTTTTGAACCATATCACTCTTGTTTCTGGTTCTGATATTGTCATATTTTAGTTTTGGGATTTGGACATCGTAATTGTGTGGTTGTTGGATCCTAACAGCGGAAAACGGCTCGAGAAATTTGTTTGCGAACTCCATAAGTGCAAAAGTGAATCAGATGCATGTGACTCAAACCTCCGTTCAAACTGTTTCTCTTCCCAACAGAATTAAAAAATAGTGAAAGGTGAAGTTGATGGGCAGGATTGATCCACAGGAAGGATGAAAAAGGAAACCTTTGACTGACTAAATCATCCTGAGTTTGTAGCGAACATTTTATATGTGGAGCGTCAACAAAGCAAAATCCCGATCCCTCACTCCACCTCTGTTACGAATTTAAAAAGTGAACGCCAAAGTGAAAGGCACCAGCTGTTCACCAAGAAACACCTTCCACTGCAAAGAGACCAAGAAGTGATGTTGATGTAAAACCACAAGAACAAGAAAGTGCAGCTCAGTCTGTTTGTCTTCTGTACCTCTCACTTAACAAACGGGATCCCACTTTGATGGCTCCACATGCAAAATGTTCACTGCAAACTCGGGATGATTTAGGCAGTCAAAGGTTTCCTTTTTTGTCCTTCCTGTGGATCAATCCTGCCCATCACCTTCACCTTTCACTATTTTTCAATTCTGTTGGGAAGGGAAACAGTTTGAGGTTTGCAGTCACACACATCTGATTCCCTTTTGCATTTAAGAAGTTCGCAAACAAATTTCTCGAGTCGTTTTCCGATGTTATGATCCAACAACCACACAATTAACAATGTCTGAATCCCAAAAGTAAAATATGACAATATCAGAATCAGAAACAAAAGTGATATGGTTCAAAAGACTTGAAAAGATCGACTTTGTCAATAGACACATCCCACTGGGAAAACAAACATGGCAATTTGATGCTCACTTTTTCGGAAAATCCTTCCCAGTGTGTATTGCACGATGACCGGAAGTCAGAGATTCTTGATCTCTATCGTCTATTGGTCCAAATGACACAGCATCAATTACAAATGAACGTTTTACTGCAAGTTCTTTGAAAATCTACTTTGATAAGGCTAATATTTTACATTTAGTGTGTGGTTTTAAGGATCTTAGCATGAATAAAGACTGATGACTCATTCTAATGTCTTAAACATGCACATATTTAAATTATTCCCTGTACTGAGCATCAGTCTACGGTAGAGATGCGCGGATTGTGGTTACAACCGCGGTATCCGCGGTTAATCCGCGGGTCGGGCGGATGACGTGACGAAAAATTATTTTTTAATTAAATTCGGGCGGGTGGCGGTTTAACTACTAAAAAAAAAAAAAGAAAAAAAAAAGCTTTTATTCGTATTGTTACCTACATCTGAAAAGACGAGTCTCATTGTCTGTGCTTGTAGTATGAAGTGTACGTCATGTCCTTAATTAGCCCATTTGACCTCGTTTTTATGTTCATTTGTTCATGCTAATTTATTTCAGCTGTTTGCCAACACATAAGTGGCTATAGGACCATATTTATTTAGTTATGCATATTTTTTCTTGCCTATTTCAATTGGAATATAAAGAGGATATTGCCTGATTTCAATAAAGGTTCATCTGGATGAGATGATCTGTCTATTTTGTATCGATATCAGATATATTTTAAAACATGCAGACATTATAGTGTAGACTGCCACTCGGGGTATTTAAAACTTAAAGAAAGACCGATGGAGTGAGGCTATGACTTTGAAATAACATCGGGCAATGGCAGAATGTTCAGAATGTAACAACATCCAAAACGAAGGCAAGAAGGTTCAAAAATAGCCTAGTCGGAAAATGTTGTCAATTAATTAGCTGCGCAAGAAAACCAGGTAAGTCTGGGGTTGTTACGGACAATTAAGAATTTAACAACATTAACAATTTTGGAATGAATGAGCTATAAAGTTTGCATTTTTATCGAGGCTCTTTAGTTTGTTTGCTGTATGATTGTTCTAAAATCTAAAATCAATCGGCGGATGGCGGGCGGGTGCGGTTTTGAAAACCTTCGGTGCAAAATGGATAGCGGGCGGATGATGAGTTTTGTGTTGCGGTTGCGGATGAAAAAATAGCCCATCCGCACATCTCTAGTCTACGGCCCTCGATCAGCCCTCGGCTTCATCTGTATTTAGATATGTGGCCCTTGATGAAAAAGGTTTGGACCCCCCTGCCCTAAAGGAACTGTTTATTTGGTCAGGCACATGCAGGCAGCTCAGGGGTCCTTGCGCCATAGTAACAGTGTTGCTGTGGTGCTTCTGGCTTGCTGGTGCCTTCAGTTTGTCCTGTTTTTGTCTGTGTCTGTAACAGAGACACCAGCTTAAGATCGAAGACAGGGCATTAAAAGCTCCAAAATACATTCTGGTGTCCGTTTCTACTCTCTGATCAGAGTATTGTACGGATGAAGTGTCCCAGTACACCGTCTACAGTCCTCCTCCCTAGCACAATGAAAGAGCTCTAACCAACCAAAATGCACATCCAACAAAGGCTACGTTCAGACTGCAGCCTGAAGTGACCCAAATCTGATTTTTTGGCCACTATGTGACCTGTATCTGATCTTTTAATGACACAGATCTGATTTTTTCAAATGTGACCCAGGACACTTGGATATGTGCTCCTAAAACTGATACATATCTGATCTTTTGACATGTGACTTCAGTGTGAACGGCCAAAGTGCATTCATCCACCTACACGTTATCAACAAGACACAAACGTCACTATTCTGCTCTGAAGTAGGCAAAAATTGTTAATGAACTCTGTGTCACTGAAGTGAAGCACATCACCACTCACCACTCTTGGCTCCGTCTCCACATCCACACGTTTCTTTCAACGGACTGAACCACAAAACACCACGGCCAAAAACCTTGTCCTTCTCCTTCTCAATCTCCTCCTTAAAACAAGTAAGCTGTTCATGTTGTGGCTCCGGTACGAGAGGAACTTTAAAATCTCCAGGTGCTCAATGCTGCGTCCATGTTTGGACAACTTCCGTAAACACAGAGCACGCTCACTGCGGTTGACGTCATCGTGTCTCCAGTGCACATGCAGGACACTTTTGGGCCATTTAATGTTCACACTGGAGATCACATACAAGTCACATTTAACTGGAAATGTGAAAAAAATACGATTTGAGCGTTAAGCCCTGCAGTCTGAACGTAGCCTAAGTTTGCAGCCTGGACATTGCCATTACATTTAACGTGTACAAAGCGACGCTTGAGAGTGTTTTTAAAATTTTCTTTATTTTGTTGACATTAACTCTGTGTACTAGTAGTAGTAGTAGTAGTAGTAGTAGTAGTAGTATAAGGAGCAGGCCAAGCCCCAGGATCTCAAAAGGGCTGCCCATTCAAGTCAATGGGCCTAGCTCAATGGCGCATGTCTCCAATTTCGCCTTTGAACCGTCATGCTCATTTCTCCCACGGACACACGCCAGTGGACGTGAGCGCGCACGTGATCACTTTGACCAATCAAAGCAAGAGGAGCTAGAGCAGAGGATGATTAAAAAGCTGTTTTTTTAAGACAACTGAAGGATTTTGAGCTGAGAAAAAGTTTATGAAATAGGTAAAAAATCTCCACAAAATCCTACCTTTTTGAAAGCTGTAGGTCCCTGTCAGCCGAACATGAGTAGTTTGTGATTACATTGTGCTCTATCAAAATATCCTTTCTGGGCTGGAGGGATTTTTTTTCACTGAAGTTCCAGTGAGTGTCCACTATGTCAACTGGAGACAGCTACAAGCAGCAACACCCTATTCAGTTAATTGAACAGATCCATGGAGCAGGCTCACAGAGGAGGGTGGACAGGAGCAGCAACTAAAGGCAAAATAACACAATTCAGCCACAAACCCATTCTGGTGTCAGATCAGAAATGACAAACAGTGCAGGAATTCAAGCACCTGGGCATTCTCCTAGACTCCACTCTTAGTTTTAAAGATGGTCAATTTTAATTTATCTAACTTCAGGTTTATCAGAAAATCCATGTCCACCAAAGCATCCAAACTGTATATTCACTCTGTGATTCAGTCTGACATGACCTGCTGCTTCACCACATGGTCCCAGGTGAAAAAATACAGTCTTTTTAGTTGGGACAATCTAATTCAATTCAATCATGTCTGCCTGATGTATACAATCCTGCATGGCCTGGCCCCTCTTCCTCATGAGGCGGGTCACTAGAGGATCTTCTACAGACTGTGTCATTCCTCTTAGAAAGACAGGCTTTAGCCAATCAGCCCAGAGGTCGGGACCAGAGGTGCGCCCGTGTAGACCGTCGGGTGATCGCAGGAGAAAGGGCCGACTCCGCGAACCACAGGGCGA